GACTTCATCTTTCAGAGTCTCAGGACTTTGCCTTGTCAGAGTGGCAGGACTTGACCTTTCAGAGTAACAAGACGTGACCCTGTCACAGTAACAAAACTTGACCCTGTAAGAGTAGCAAGACTTGACCCTGTTAGAGTGGCAAGACTTGGCACTGTTAGAGTGGCAAGACTTGGCACTGTCAGAGTAGCAGATAGGTGGAAAATTCTCTCTGTATGTCAATGCAAAGTTTAACACGGGATAGCAACACTCTACTCTGTGAGACGAGGTCATTCGCAGAACTCGATATTTCCACAAACTGAACAGTACCAGTTAAAAAAGACATTTTTGTTTATTGGTTACTTGTGACCAAGGGTGTATGTGGTTAGATGTTGCCATAAACCCGAGACCAGTCAAACTGGTCTGAGGCCATGTCCTCGTTGGTTGCAGCTGTCACAAGTCGGAAACCCACATACCCTTCATGATGTACATAGTAAGCTTCCACCATGAGATATACTCAATATGTGTTGCCATTGATGCATATACAGGTAAATTCACTAGGAATTTGTTGGAGACAGACATCAATGGCAACATATGAGGACTTGTGCGTGCGTTTGTGTAAAGCTAGTTGTCAGAATCACGTGTCATCAAGGTAATGTGCGTGAAGAATGTGTGTGTTTGTGTAAAGCTAGTTGTCAGAAGCACGTGTCATGGAGGTAATGTGCGTGAAGAATGTGTGTGTTTGTGTAAAGCTAGTTGTCAGAAGCACGTGTCATCGAGGTAATGTGCGTGAAGAATGTGTGTGCTTGTGTAAAGCTAGTTGTCAGAAGCACGTGTCATCGAGGTAATGTGCGTTAGGAATATGTGTGCTTGTGTAAAGCTGGTTGTCATGATCTGAAGCACGTGTCATCGAGGTAATGTGAGCGAAGAACGTGTGTGTTTGGTGTAAAGCTAGATGTCAGAAACACGTGTCATGGAGGCAATGTGCGTGTTTCTGTAATTCTTGTTATCAGAAGCAATGACAGAAGCAACGAGGCAATGTGTATGAATACTGTTGGTGTTTTATGTGTGGCTAGTCATTAAAAGAAAGTTGCTCCAGCATAGTTTGTATGGAGGACATGTGTGTTTATGAGATGCTATTCCAAATAAATATGATATGTGGGACATATTCTGACATCGGGTGTTCCTCAAGGATGTGTGTGTACGTACGTGCGTGCGAGCCCTCGGTGTGTATGAGAATATTCCTGTTACTGGGGTATATATTTTTGACGTTCGTTTTGTTGTAGCTGAATATCGTTTTATAGTGAATAAATTATCCACATCGTGGGATTGACGAGGCTCTGGTTGTAAATCATTACTGAACACTGGGCATGCTTTTAATCCCCGCTTGCCATCTGATATATAAAATAGCATAGCGAGCGTTGTAATTAATAAGTAATGGATATTAACTATCACGATGAAAGTCATCAAGTCCTCCGTGTACCAAGATTAATCCATTAGTGTGTGACAGTACACAACAACTCTCTTAGTGATGCTTGTATCTGTAAATGGGAACGCTCTCCAACATTGATTGCTGTTGTGTTGAACAGGAGGTCATCATCTACCGCTATCTGCGACAGTTTTACTGCAGATATCACGAACCTTTCTCAATGCATGTTTAAGTCGACTTCAGGTAAGAGATTGAAATTCGACATTTTCGTACTTGAATATGTATATGCATATGTTACCAATATTTCATGTCGGAAAGCATTCCGTGTGTCAACAGTGAAGAAAATCACGTCTGTGTCTTGTGTACCTATGTTACTTGGTGCCCTAGTTTAAACATCAATCGTTTCTATCTGAACACCAGAAGTCTGAAACATAAGCTCGATTATCAGAGTTTCTTTCAAATTCAGAGAAGCACGTACTGATAACTGGGACAATTTGGACAGAAGCTCCATTGGCGGTGCAATGAGGATTTATGCCAATCTTTGAAACGAAAATACGATTTAGTTTTGAAAGCAGAGTTGTGATGGTATTATTTTCCTTCAAATATTCCAATCCCAGAAATCAGCTGTGCATCATATTGTGAAAGCAGAGTGAAAAGTAGATAATATGAATTTTAAGGAAAATAATTATCACGAAATAATCTTTGGTACAGAAAGTTGCACGTCATCTTGATTAATGAAAAATCACCAAACTTCGTTCCCCGATTTTTCTAGTGAATAGTCTTCTAACCTGCACATCAATTCTTCTCTTCATCAATTTATTGATTTCTTTCTTAACTGTTGCTGTCATTGATAACCGAGACTATCAGTAATAGATATGTAATGATATGACTGAGGACTTTATGCTGTTAGACACAGGTGAATATTGTGCACACCTGTGAAGTACCTGGTATACATGTCCAGGTATGTTGACCCCAGATATCAGCTTGTATTTTTGAATTAGCATTGTCAAGTCCTCACTGGAGTGTTTAGTACGTTTCGAAAAGATACTGCAAGTTATCTTGGCCGTGCAACCATATTGTTGCATATGACGCTATTATGAGTACATTTTCTGTGGGGGCTTATATCATACAATGCAGACAAAACATGAGCCATACTGTTTTCTCTGAAACAAGCACATTCAAACTTGAACTTTATATTTCATGCTAAATTAAAAGAAAGGTCACGTTCTCCTAAGCACATGGATATAACAGTCTATTTGGATGGTAAATAGCACAATTCATGTTAAGAATTTACTAGAATTAACTGAAAAAAATAACTACCAATGCTTTCCAATTTCACTGCTCATCTACATAGAACAACAGACAGCCATAACTGTCTGTGTAGTTTCCCGTGTGTAAACGTCAAACACTACTTAACAGAATGTCCGTTTCTAAGCGTTATAGGGAGACTACAATGGATACCAAGGCACCGTATATTCACGTATATACATCTGACAAGGATACACACCAAGTAGGTAATTTTAACGTGGAAACATCTGGCGACATGCTGCTATTGTTATATGGTCTTTGATTTTCAGAAAACAACGCTAAGGGGATGGACATCGTTTCCCAAGAGTTGAACCTGACAGCAGAGTCAGTGCCAGGAAAATACCCGGATCAAATGGAGATGGTGAAATTCAGCCTGGCAGTGATGGGCGCGATTGGGAACACACTATCCGCAATTGTGTGGGCAGATGAGAGGCGGGTGTCTTGTTCCGCCATGTTGCTGCTGTGTCTGGCTCTCTATGACCTCGTCTACCTGGTGGGCGTCACCATCTCTATCATGCTCCACTTCTGAAGCTTCGCCAATCTTCCTCTTGATCCCATTCACATTCAGATAGCCATTCACAGTCTCTCCATCGTGTACAGCTCGGCACTCTGTGGTTCCAGTTTGATGACAGTCGCTCTGACTGCTGAGAGATATGTCGCTGTGGCGCTACCGCTAAAGATCAGTTCCGTCTGCTCCAGAAGCAGAGTGGGCGACGTCGTGACCGGGATTCTCACTCTGTGTATCGTCCACGCAGTGTTGTACGGCATGTACGTGTTCCTGGTAGCAGTGCCATATCTGCAACACGCCCAAGTGCTCAATAACCAAACATCACGTGGAAATACGACGGCGCAGGAAGAAATGTTTCTATCTTGGAGCTTCGTCTCGGAATACGATCTGCCAGTGTTGGTGGTTCAGTGCAGCATGGTGTATGTCCTCCCCTGGCTGTGTATCCTCATCCTCAACATACTGCTACTACACAAACTCAGAACGTCAGATTTCGGCGCCAAACTCAGATCGGCAGCTCGTCTTCAAGCTGAGAAACGCCTGGTTGCATCAGTGATGGCGGTTTGTGTGTTGTCGCTAGTGACTCACCCGGTCGGCTTTGCTGGGCTCATGCTACCACTTATTCTGCAGGATCGGGTCCCGGCGTCCAGCAAGTATCTATTTGAGACGTGGAATATTTTGAAGTTGATAAACTGTGGAGCTAATTTCCTTTTCTATTCCATTATTAGTGCTCAGTTCAGACAAAAACTCGTACAGAAACTGAAATGCTGTCCTTGTAAAACCAGCACTGACAAAAACAAAGGTCAAAAGGGGACTAAAGCCTAGGGAACTATAACCGTCCATTTTAGTCTCAAAACAACTTATCGTACTCTGACGAATAGTATCAAAGTGGAACCCTACTCACGTCCTCAAAGTGCGTAGTTCTGTGTCTTCACCCTGTATTCAAATAAAACGTGCAAGGGAAATCGTCATTGGAGTCATTCTCAGAAGAGTTTGGTTTAAGCACAACACAATTAACAAAACATGCAGGGAATAACTTGAATACCCAGCATTTCCTTTTCACGATTTTAAGTACTTTCGTCACGGGCTGTATATCGGCGGATGGTGTGGGTTACACAGGCTGTACGTGGAACTGATGATGTGGGTGTCATGGGCTGTAGGTGGACGGATGGTGTTGGTGTCATGGGCTGTAGGTGGACGGATGATGTGGGTGTCACAGGCTGTAGGTGGACGGATGGTGTTGGTGTCACAGGCTGTAGGTGGACGGATGATGTGGGTGTTACGGGCTGTAGGTGGACGGATGGTGTTGGTGTCATGGGCTGTAGGTGGACGGATGATGTGGGTGTCACAGGCTGTAGGTGGACGGATGGTGTGGGTGTCACAGGCTGTAGGTGGACGGATGATGTGGGTTTCACGGGCTGTAGGTTGACGGATGATGTGGATGTCATGGGCTGTAGGTGGACAGATGATGTGGGTGTCACAGGCTGTAGGTGGACGGATGATGTGGGTTTCACGGGCTGTAGGTTGACGGATGATGTGGATGTCACAGGCTGTAGGTGGACGGATGGTGTTGGTGTCACAGACTGAAGGTCGACGCATGTCACGTGTTTCAAGGGCTTGTAGACCCACTAATTGTAAATGTCTCGGGTGTAACGGGCTGTATGTGGACGGATGATATGGGTGTCACGGGCTGTAGGTGGACGGATGATGTGGATGTCACAGTCTATAGGTGGACGGATGGTGTTGTTGTATTTGGTTGAAAGTCGATGCATGTCACGTGTGTCAAGGGCTTGTAGACCGACTAATTGTAAATGTCTCGGATGTAACGGGCTGTATGTGGACGGATGATATGGGTGTCACGGGCTGTAGGTGGACTGATGATGTGGGTGTCACGGGCTGTAGGTGGACGGATGGTGTGGGTGTCACGGGCTGTAGGTGGACGGATGATGTGGATGTCACAGGCTGTAGGTGGACGGACGGTGTGGGTGTCATGGGCTGTATGTGGACGGATGATATGGGTGTCACAGGCTGTAGGTGGACTGATGATGTGGGTGTCACGGGCTGTAGGTGGACGGATGGTGTGGATTTCATGGGCTGGATTTCATGGGCTGTAGGTGGACGGATGATGTGGATGTCACAGGCTGTAGGTGGACGGACGGTGTGGGTGTCATGGGCTGTAGGTGGACTGATGATGTGGGTGTCACAGGCTGTAGGTGGACGGATGATGTGGGTGTCACGGGCTGTAGGTGGACTGATGATGTGGGTGTCACGGGCTGTAGGTGGACGGATGGTGTGAGTGTTACGGGCTGTAGGTGGACGGATGGTGTTGGTGTCATGGGCTGAAGGTCGACGCATGTCACGTGTGTCAAGGGCTTGCAGACCGACTAATTGTAAATGTTTCGGGTGCCATGGGCTGTAGGTGGACTGATATGTGGATGTCACGGGTGTCACGGGCTGTAGGTGGACTGACATGTGGATGTCACGGGTGTCACGGGCTGTAGGTGGAGTGATATTTTCAAATTCAAATGTTTATTGTATGAAAGGCAATAGGCCCATACACATGAAGTGTACATGGTACATTATAGGATAATTTAAACAAAATATTCACATTTAATTTCTACTCTTGGAAAGCATATTTGAAATAAAACATTACATATTTTAAATCTGGAAAGTTTGTTGTTGCCATAAGGCGAACAAATTGTGTGTTGGGCTCGTGATCAGCTGATAAACAAACCCTGCTTATTGATAACGTACACGTCATGGGTGTGGTCCATATCAGCTGATCATGAATGAATTACAAATTTGTTAGAAAGCAAGTCGATCATTTGTTGTCAATTGCCAGTGAAGGGGTTCAATACTGGGGGCTACCCACACCGTCCAAATAGTCCATATTGTCTTGACTAGACATTAGTCCAGCCGACCTTGCAACAACCGGCAACAGCTTTAAGGGGTGTTTCTGAGTTCGAACGGGCCCGTCCATTCACAACAACGCACCTGTCTTCACCGCCCACGTCTGGAATGTAAGAAAACCTATAGTTACCATGCACTTCTGAGAAGGTATAACAGACAAACAGGAACATATCAGTAAGAATGAATGAACTTCTAATCTGAAAGCCAATGTTACGCTGTGATATTCTGTTGACCCATCCGAACCTGATGATCCACGTCCCAGTACACAGTGTACACGATATGCACAGGGCAGGCTCATTGCAATCATCTCGGGACACGTCGACACGTTTCATTATCATTTATCGATTTTTTTAAAACTTGATTCGGTAATCGTCCAAACGACAAATTAAGACCAAGTGAATCATAATTCAACTTTATTCTGTAAGTTTACATGGGTATTTACTAGCGATAGCACGACTGTCATTAGCCATCACTTCATATTTAATGTAACATGGGATGCTTTGTATGTCATATGCACACCATGAATGGATGACGTGGTTTACAACATAAGGATTGATAAGAGGACAAGAGTTTTCGTACAAAATACGTAAAGGGGCGGTTGGAGACGAATACCGTGGTGAAAGATGTTCTTGTAAATTACCAAAAGGGGCGAGTGGTAAAAGATGTTCTTGAAGTTACCAAAAGGGGCCAGTGGTAAAAGATGTTTTAGATGATATCACAGTAATACAATCTCTGTAAAATCAGGTCTTCGTTCTCGCTACTGGCACAGGACAGGATTCGTCATTCCACCCAACCATTCAAAGCGTCGCTTGCAAGATTCGGATTGTGCTTTCTAATCATGGAACCTCTAAAGGACAACAAAGTCTATATGACTGATCCCATAAGAATAATTGTCCTTCTCTTACTGCAATGGCATAAACATTAATTTTAAACGGATAGAGCTTCCATTGCCTGTTGGAAATATTGCCTGACAAGTTCCACCGTCGCTAGACAATCAAGACTCTTCTTTGTTTAGATGTGGTTAAAATCGCTAAGCTTTTCATAATAATCCACAAAACGTAGTCAGGAATGTTTTCTACGGGTTGTTCTGACGACAGGACGTCCACAAAGGAACTTAATCGGTTTTGCTATCAATATTATTGCGATTGGTGAAATTGAGCTAAAACGGTGAAAAACAACACCCCCTCGCTCTAACTGAAATGTTATCACTGCCTTCACTTACTCTCGATGTAAGACCCTTTACTGCCCCCGTCCGGCGAGTAGTACATGCAACCTGTCATGGTGTAACCAGTCAGACATGACACCGAGGCTGTGTCTCCAAGACCGCGCCCAGTCAGCTCCGACTCCACCTGGATACAGTTGAGGTTTGGGGCCGAACAGCATATCGTGTTTCCAGTGGCGCCTTCAATGAATCAATGAATTGAACAGGTTCTAAGATAACACAGCGCTGACTGACTCTCTGACTGAAGGACTTAAATACCACGTCTGTACGCCGAGAATGTATGAGGTAATTTGCAGTAATTGTCCATAGGTGCAGTTTTAGGGGACGGAGGTTTAATAAACATCAGGATTTGGGAATGTCATGCTGACAAAGGCATTGTACCAGTTGAGTTTCACATCTATCAGTTGAGTCTTCACAACGATCACTCATCATCCGTGAAAACTGCTGAAATATGCATCTCCACGTTTACCGAGGGCCAAGTGTTCACCTTAGACTAACAACTAAGCTCTGAAATGAACATATTTTACTGAAAAAAGTTCATAGTAAAAAAAAAAAATATAATGAAAAGGAGCCCTGAGACTTTCTTCATTTTCAGAAGCTGAGGAAATCTAGACTTGCCACATTTTCTAGACTTGTGTGGGCTTTCTTGGATATATTTGCTTAAGGGTCTGTACGACAGACTAGTGTTCACCTCTAAAAGACCTCAATTTGATGAACGGGCAGAGGCATACTGAATTCAGTGAATTGTGCGCGAGCTGCTTGAAAACCTGTGTTTGCATGTGACATGACAGCTGCACATCTGAAATCAGAAGAACATCTGGTGCCGAGGAATACATGAATAGACGTATGTCTCTTCAGCCTCAAAGACGTCGTTTGACGCCCGAAGTATTAAGCAGATGGCATGTTTGGTATTGGGTCAACACGACGTACCGCCACATACCCGAAAGACGGGTTTCTCTAGACAGCAGCATCACTATACCACTCTGTTGACTGCCAACATGTCGTCATCGTGGTCATCATGACACCTGTTCTTCCGGCAACTCTACAGGAACTCGGCATTGCTCTTACTGAAGAGTGGAACAAACTTCCCTTGACAACCACCAACACAATTTATTGGGGACATGGGCCAACGGTGCCAGGCTGTGATCGCATCGGAGGGTGTTTTTGACTGAATATTAGCCACGTGTTGTTTGTAAGCAATGCACTACACACAATATTTGTTAAGAAAACATGCCTTCACGCAAAATTGAAAATTTGGTTATTTTAACAGGTGCACACAATATGACGTTTTACCTACTGAAGTGGGGATCCTTAGCAAACACTGAGCTGTACATATGATGTTGAAGTGACTCGTTGTGAAATACCCATGGATGTGAAACATGCCTAACTCAGTGCATGAACCTCCTGCGGTCCCTACCATTGCCTTATAAATACTGATGCACTGAAGAGGGTTGGAGGCTGCAATGCTTCCACAAATCGCTCGAGAAACAGTGCCGTTTGTGCTGTTGGTAACACTGTTAGATGAAGTAGTGTGTCTATGACAACTGAGTTCAATGTGGGGAGAGGGTACCGTTATTGAGTCCTCCGTTTTGGGCAGTGCAGCCGTTCGCCGTCAGGAACACACCGTCGATTTTCCCCTGCCACTGTAGCACGGTGCAGCCTTGAGGAGAATAAAAACAGTGTCAGATATCTTACTTAGACCCACAGAATATAGAACATGAGAAGTGATCAAAGGAGTACAGCACAGAATTGTATGCTTAAAAGTTCGTTTCCGATGCAGTTTTGTCTCGCAAACACACCGAGACGTCCATGGTTGTGGCAATGCTCGCACACCCCACGCCAAGCTTTAACTGTAATTGTCTTCGAAACGGCTTTGAAGGAAACTTACTCACCACCATCATTGCAATCCGAAGCAACCTGAGCTGACCGTACTGAAAGTACTTGCCTGTTGGCCAGTAGCCGTCTTTGCACGCCCTGCTCGTCTGAGCGTTGTCGGTGCTGGCTGAATAGGTCATCTCGAGGTATTCGCACTTGAGACCAGCCAATGAACAGCACCGGGCATGTCCCCGCACAGCTATACAGGAAGAGGGAACTCATATAGGTCCTGTTATTCGTCATGGGTAATCTACAGGATAAATGGGATCGAAGATCCTGATTCGATTCCCCTACAATGGTACAATAGGTAAAATCAGCTACCCTTCTTACCCATATATCACTATCCTATCATTACTTGGAGCATATCGATGTTTGGTTTCGATGTCCAGTAAATTAATGCCCACTTACGCCCTTGTGCCTCCCATGAGTTAATCGCATTACACACGGCCTTCCCGTCTTGCTCCAGAATCGTCTGGCCGTCGGACTTAAACTCGTCATTCTGTAGGAAAGCAATAGATAAAAACTATAGTCACTCGATCAACTTTTATCCTGCCGTTTTCTAGACCGCCTCCGTGGTGTAGTGGTTAGGGCGTCCACCCGGAGAGCGGAAGGTCGCGGGTTCGATCCCCGACCGAGTCAAACCAAAAGACGTTAAATATGGTGCTTGTTGGTCCCTGCCTGGCGCTCGGCATTAATGGGTACAACAAGGACTGGTCTGAGTCTGAGTGAGGTATTCATGCTTCACTGCGGCATGGTATCTCAGTGGGCTAGCACTATAAAACCAGCTTCAGTCTTGGCTAGTACAAGCAGCCGCACATACACATACACACGCATTCACGTCGTCATATGAGCGAAATATTCTCAAGTACGACGTTAAACCCAATTTCACCTCACCTGCCGTTTTCTCAGAAGGAATGATTAATTCTGCCCACTCTAACTTGCAAGTTTCATACCTACCGCAATATACCTCTAATGATATCATTGTTTGTTTTCATAGGCCTGCGATGTCTGCAGAAGGGCTTCTCAGATATTCGGTTAATATAGCTTGTGTCAATGTGATGCCAACCTTGCCTTTCACATTGCACACCCACTGATTACACAGTGACTTATTAATATAGTTATAAAGTGGGATTCACGCACATCCATCAAACTTGTACAGCCAGTGAGAATCTCAGTATCTTGACACGGCGCCGGAGCATGTGCATCATCCTTAACAGCGGACGGCCCGGAGACGCGGTCCTCACACACCAGCATCGTCGACGACCCTGCTGATGAAGCTGTCTTCAAGGAATCAAGATCTGTACAAATATACACATGATACAAAGGCATGTTACAGTTATGGTCGTGA